TTTCAGCCTTCTTTTATGCATGTATGGTGTATTCATCACCACAAGTCCTCACTTTAAACCTGCACTGAAAATAAGCTAAATTCCACTGAAAATAAGCTCATTTCCACTCTTACCTGAAATTACACCGATAAGACAAATGTTATCCATCCATGAGAGTGTCCCATGCCTCTTCTTTTTTGTACCTGAAAACTGTAAAAGCTTTATCTTTCTGCTCCCTCATAGATTCACAGAAGTAGGGTCAGAAGGGACCTTGTAGATTATCAAGTCTGACCCCCTGCCCTGGGCAGGAGAGAAAACCAGGCTCAAATGACCCCAGACAGGTAGATGTCAAGCCTCCTCTTAAAGCCCCCCCGAGTAGGAGCCAGCACCACTTCCCTTGGAAGTTGGTTCCAGGTCCTAGCTGCCCTGACTGTGAAGTAGTGCCTCCTAATGTCTAGTCTGAATCTACTTTCTAATGATTTGTGGCTGTTATTCCTTGTTACCCCGGGGGACACTAGGGGGAACAGGGTCTCTCCCATTCCCCTCTGGTCCCCCCCTAGTGAGTTTATAGACGGCCACCAGGTCCCCCCTCAGCCTTCTCTTGTGAAGGCTGAACAGGTTCAGGTCCCGTCGCCTCTCATTGTAGGGTCTGCCCTGCTGTCCCCTGATCATGCAGGTGGCCTCCTCTGGACCCTCTCCATGCTGTCCACATCCCTCCTGAAGTGCGGCACCCAGAACTGGACGCAGTACTCCAGCTGCGGCTTGAGCAGTGTTGCATAGAGGGGGAGGATCACCTCCTTGGACCTGCTCGAGATGCATCGGTGGATGCACGACAAGGTGCGGTTAGTCCTATGACCGTGACCTTGCATTGTCGGCCCATGTTCATCTTGGAGTCAATGATGACTCCAAGATCTTTCTGCCACCGTACTCTCAAGAAGGGAGTTTCCCAGCTTATAAGTGTGCTGCTGGTTCCTACTGCCCAAGTGCAGCACCCTGCACTTTTCAGTATTGAACCCCATCCGATTTTCGTTAGCCCACCCCTATAACTTGTCCAGGTCCTGCTGTAGTCTGTCCTTCCCTACTAGCATGTCTACCTCACCCCATATCTTGAAATCATCAGCAAATTTAAACAGGCTGCTTTTCACCCCGTCATCCAAGTCACTAATAAAGAAATTGAACAGTTCAGGCCCGAGGCCCGAGCCCTGGGGGACTCCACTGCCCACTTCCCTCCAGGTCGAAAAAGACCCGTCCGCCACTACCCTCTGAGTACGACCTTTCAGCCAATTTGCAATCCATCTGACTGTGTAGGCATCAGTGCCCCAGTCACCTAGCTTTTTGATGAGAATTGGGTGGGAGACAGTGTCAAACGCCTTGCTGAAGTCCAGAAAGACTATGTCCACTGAGACACCTGCGTCCAATGCTTTTATGACCTGGTCATAGAAGGCAATCAGGTTGGTCTGGCAGGACCTGCCCCTAATGAAACCGTGCTGGTTGCCCTTGAGCATCATTCCCACTGCTGGCCCATCACAGATGTGCTCCTGGATGATCTTCTCAAAGAGTTTCCCCAGGATTGAAGTAAGACTAATGGGCCTATAGTTGCCCGGGTCCTCCCTCTTCCCTTTTTTGAAGATGGTGACCACATTGGCCCTTTTCCAGTTGTGCGGCACCTGGCCCGAGCACCACAAGTGCTCATAAAGGTGTGCCAGGGCCCCCGCAATAACCCCTGCCAATTCCCTCAGCACTCGGGGGCGGAGCGCATCTGGACCTGCTGATTTGAACCCATCCGGCACCCCTCCAGAAGTTCTCTAACTCAGTCCTCCCTGACCCTAGGCCTGGTGGCATTTCTCCCGAGTCCGTCTGGAATCCTGGTTGGGGAGCCCCGGTCCCTGCACAAGAAAATGGAGGCGAAGAATTTGTTAAAGAGGTCTGCTTTCTCCTCTGGTGCAACCACCAGATTGCCTAGCATATCCTGCAGGGGCCCCACATTACCTGGTGCCTTCTTCGTTCTCCCTGTGCCCGCCTGGCCTCAAACATTTTGTGCCGTGCCACTTTGGTTCAGGTGCCCACCGGAATCCGCCCTGCCATTGCAGGTGGTCTTTCAAGGAGGTATTTACCCGCGACGCAGTCCACCCCTTTCTCGCCTGCCACGTCTTTGAATCTTCTTCAGTGGGGGACTCAGTACTGCGCGGTCTCCCTCCCTGGCCACTTGTTCCTCCGGCAGTCTTCTGTGAAGCTCCACCTCCCCTCTACCTCGCCCTATACCCAGCCTGGCGGGTCACTGCTGATCCTGCGGCCAATCTTATGCATCATGGTTGTCTTTCAGTCTATAAGGGCGCCTCTCCTCACTCGGTTCTCCTTACTCCGCTCTGCCTCAACCCCTCCAGGCACGGGGAAACACAAAATACTTTACAGGCAAAGAAAAACGCAAGAAAACCTCCACCAACACGGTGCGTTCTGACCACGCCCAAGGCACACCCCTGTGCTCCTATCTGGCCACTAGGGCCCCTTCCTGTTCACCCAGCCCCCGTTTCCACTTGGGGGCTATCTGAAGCTCTCTTCCATGGTTGCTAGACCTTCAGGGTCAGCCTTGGTCTCTCCTGGCTTGGCCCCTTCAGTCCTAAATATCGTTGCCCTCTCTCTGGGCCTTCCCGATATCGTTGCCCTCTCTCTGGGCCTTCCCGATATCGTTGCCCTCTCTCGGGGTCTTCACAATGTTGATGGTTGTTGCCCGCTCTCTGGGTCTTCACAACAGTGCTGCCCCTCTCTCTGGGCCTTTCAATATTATCGCTGTCCCTGGGGCGCACCCTCGGGTCCCTCGGGTTCCTCCACAGTCCCATCTGTTTGGACACTGGAGGGAGGGCCAGTGCCTCCCGCTTCTCTGCGGAGGCTGCTGGGCTCAGGGTTTCTCCAGTTTCTGTCTTCCTCCCCTGCCTTTCTCCGCACCGGAGCTCCTGCCCCGAATGCAGGTTTACCTTCACCGCCGTCGGCAGCTTCGCCCTCGCCACGTGAGGCATCGGATCCGCCTCTATTGGGGATCGCCATTTCTTGCTCCGCTCCGAGCTTCCGGCTGGCCCCTCTGGCTGGGGTTCCTCCTGGCGTCTGATCCCCTGCCTCTTTGTGGGCCATCCTTTTTATCCCTGCTGGCCGGTAATTACCGCTGATGTCACCGGCCGGCCACAACTGTATGAAAGCGCGGCTAATGGCACGCGCGGGTTCTTTCCAGTGTTTCTGCTTTGCCGCAGGTCTTGCTGCAAGTAAGTGTTCTTTTTTTACTTTTGCTTTTTCTGTTCTTCCCCCATTTTCTGGTCCCGGGGTTCCCCCCCTTAGGCTTTAGGGTCCCCCCCCGTTTGTCTCTCCCTGTGACACTCCCTATATATTTAAAAAAGGGCTTTTTATTATCTTTGATCCTTGACGCTAGCCCTAGCTCCGTATCTGCCTTAGCTTTTCTAACAGCCCCCCTACAGACCCGAGTGGTGAAGGTATACTCCTCTTTGGTGATAGCCCCTCCCTTCCAGAGGGTGTACACCTCCTTTTTTGGCAGTCAGGTATTTGCGAATGCCCTTGGTGAGCCAGGGGGGCTTTTGGGCACTCTGGCCCCCCTTGCTTCTTGTTGGGATTGTCTCCCCTTGGGCTCTGAGTATCGCCTCCTATGTCATGAGTCACTTCCATACCTCGACTTCCAGAAAGCCTTGTACCTGGTATCCCATGAGGTACTAATCAGAAAACTGGAAGATACAGGGCTCAACTGTGGGATTGTCAAGTGGGTGAAAACTTGTTGCGGGGTAGGACACAGAGAGTCTAAATGAATGGCTCGGTGTCATCCTAGCAAGATGTGGGCAACAGCACCCCAGGGGTTGGTGCTTGGCCCAGTGCTGTTCAATATCTTCAGCAACGACCTGAATGAGGGGGTGAAAAGCCCATTGGCCAAGTTCACGGAGAACACCAAGATATGGGGTTGTGCGGACACACCCACAGATAGGCTGCAGATGCAAGCAGACCTAGACAGGCTGGCATCTTGGATGGAAGGGAACCAGATGAAGTTCAATGTAGAGAAATGCAAAGTGCTGCATCTGGGAAGGAAGAACCCCCAGTGCACCTACAGGCTGGGCATCACTAACCTGACCAGCACTACAAATGAAAGGGATCTGGGGGTAAGAATAGACCCCAGCATGAATATGAGCCAGTAATGCAATGCAGTAGTTGCTAGGGCCAATAAAACTCTGGCATGCATCAATCGATGCATCTCCAGTAAATTCAAAGAAGTGATTGTCCCACTTTACTCAACATTGGTGCAGCCACAGCTGGAGTATTGCATCCAATTCTGGGTGCTGTACTTCAACAAGGACATGCTAAAGCTCAAGAGGGTCCAGAGAAGGGCCACACGTATGATCAGGGACTTGCATCGAAAGCCATATGAGGAGAGGCTGAGGGATCTTAGACTCTTCAGCCTAAAGAAAAGAAGGCTGAGAAGAGACCTGATTGTGGCTTACCAATATATCAGGGGCTCAGTGAACAACTGTTCACCAGGGTGCCCTGGGGGGAAACTAGAAACAATGGCCACAAACTCCTGGAAGATAGTTTCAGGTTGAACATTAGGAAAAACTTCTTCACAACCAGAGTATGGACCAAGCTCCCCCAGAGGTGGTGCAATCATCTACCTAGATGTCTTCAAGAGAAGACTGGAACTGGACGGTCACCTGGCTGGGGTCATCTGACCCCAGATGTCTTTCCTGCTCATGCAGGGGGATGGACCAAATGATCCTTTGGGGTCCCTTCCAGCCCTATGATTGTATGATTCATCTCCATGCCTGGCCCTCATGACTGTCAGTTTAATGCCCTTCCTATATCAGGGAGTGGTTGGGGCTTTGTTTCCTATGCCCACCCCTCCACCACCTGGGTGACAAGGACCATCATTTCTTGAAGGCATCTCCCTGTAAGGCCTTCTCTTTCATCCTAAATGCCCATCCTCCCTTGTCCATAAAGGCCCTAATAGAAACCTTCAGTTCCTCGGATCTATTCTCCAAATCCCAGCTGGTTATTCTCCATCCAGTACCCAGTCACTAATCTTGTTTAACCTCTGCTCCAAACAGGATATCAAGGTCCCACACCTGACTTAATCTGCAGCATCCAGCAGGGACAGGTGGAGCTGTGGGTCGGTGATGATGAGGATGGTGGGGAAATCTCAGGGCCCAAGGACCTGCTGTCAGGTGAGTTGTAGTTGTCCCCCACACCTGACTCTGCTCTAAGTAGCGCTCCATGCCCAGAGTTCCCGGGCGACCTGGAAAGTGCAGACCTGTCCTGTGTTGCCATTGCAGGGTGCTGGCCTCTAACATAGTATATTATGCTGTAATGTGTCCAGGCAGGTGTTGCTCCCACTCCCTGAAATTCAAGGATTCATTGATGCTGGGGTCAGAAGGGACCTCAACAGATCATTGAGTCCAACCCCCTGCCTAGGCAGGAAAAAGTGCTGGGGTCAGATGACCCTGTAGCAGAAAGCCACCTTTGTTTCTCCCCCAAAAACTCTGCTATGTGACAGTTGTGATTAGGATGGGCCCAGCAGAGGACACACATCTTTACCCTATCTCTTTGGGTAACCTGAGCTGGATACGTTCCTGAGGGAGGGGGGGAAACCTGCTCCCTCTGCCTACATGACTGGCATCACATACCTGAGTGAGGGGCTTGCTTCCTGGTGGGCTAGAGTCTGCCCAGCAACTAGTGATGTATTTCAAATTGGTTGGCTCACAGCCAACAGGTGCTGGCCTCCATTGGACCAGGTAAATGAGGTCACAAGGGCTATATAAGTTAAGGACTGCCCAGGAGGAGGGGGCAGCAGCCATGAGGGATACTGAGGAACAAAGAAGAGCTGGACCATCTGCAACTGGCTCTAGCTCTCAAAACTCATGATCAAGGAATTGCCTGCCACCAGAGGGAATCTCCAACAGCCTCTGGATGATACTTGTGAGTAAGCTGAGATCCAACTAGATATATAGCTTGCAGTAGCTCAGACGCGAGATCAAAGGCTACCGCAGCCACAGGAGTTTGCTCTATGTGATTTCTCTGATAGTGCTCTACCCTGTACCCTATTCTAACCCTATGCTCTGTAACCAATAAAGTTCTCCTTTGTGACTGGTGTAGGAGACTTATTGAGGGTGGGTTTAATTATGCCTAGGAGCCCCTTAGGTCTGCGGACTAAGGGAGACTATCCTTTTTGGCCCCCGACTTGGGGAAGTGCCCCAAGTTCTCATATTGGGTCGAGTACCCATAGGACTATTAGGCCTGTGTTTCCCCGAGGACACAGGACCCAGACAGTCCCTTCTCGGGGTGGTGGCAGCACACGTTACCCCCGGACTCTGTGGTGGGGCTCGAAAGGGGGTCTGCCAGGGCTTAGGCACCCCTGGAGAGACGCGTGGAGTCCAGAAGGTGGACAGGCGTGATGAGGTGGGAGGCTCAACGCAGGAGCTCCCCCTACTGGCCCACCACAGACCCCATCCAGATGCCCATCCAGCCTTCTCTTAAAGACCCCCAAGGTAGGGGAGAGCACCACCTCCCTTGGAAGCCCATTCCAAATTTTGGACACCCTTACCATGAAGACATTGTTCCAGATATCTAGCCTAAATCTGCTCTCTGTCAGCTTATGACCATTGTTCCTTTTTCCCCAAGGGGTGCCCTGGTGAACAGAGCATCTCTGATCCCTCGCTGCACCTCTCCAATGAATTTTTAGGTGGGCACAAGATCACCTCTCAGCCTTCTCTTGCGGAGGCTGAAGAGGTCCAGGTCCCTCAGTCTCTCCTCATAGGGCTTGTCCTGTAAGCCCCTAACCCAGGGGTTGGCAACCCCCGGCATGCTGAGCATGGCATGCAAGGCCATTTTGCTTGGCACACCACCACAAGCCCCGGCTTTGGGTAGCTGCTGCCCGCCATGGAGCCTGGGCGGCCCCCAGCAGGTAGCTAGGAATCTGCAAGCAGCCCGGGCTCCATGGTTAGCAGCAGCTACCCAGAGCCGGGGTTGCGTGCAGCAGGCAGACTGCAAACAGCTGTGCTGGGCTCTGGCATCAGCTCTGTCCTGGCGCGTACATGCGTGCCTTGGAGCAGGCGGTGGGAGGGGCCTGAGGCAGCGCAGCCCCAGTCTCTCCACCACTCCCAACACAGAAGTGATAGTGGGGCTCTGGAGCCCAGTGCAGCTGTTTGTAGCCAGCTTGGGCTCTGGGTAGCTTCACCAAGCAGTGGGCAGGCTGCAAACAGCTGTGCTGGGCTCCACAGCTCCGGCATCAGCTCTTTGCTGGCGGGGACTGAGCATGCACCTTGGAGCGGATGGCAGGAGGGCTGTGCTTCCTAAGGGCGGGCCCTAACCCTACTGTCCGCTCCGAGGTGCGTGTGCATTCGCCACCAGCATGGAGCTGATGCGGGAACTGTGGAGCCCGGCACGGCTGTTTGCAGCCTGCTTGCTGCAGCGGCCCAGAGCCCAGGCTGGCTATGAACAGCTGCGCCGGGCTCCAGAGCCCCACCATCAGCTCTGTGCTGGGAGTGGGGGAAAGACCGGGGTTGCGCTGCCTCAGGCCCCTCCCGCTGTCTGCTCCGAGGCACATGTGCACGTGCTGGTACAGAGCTGATGCTGGAGCCTGGCACAGCTGTTTGCAGCCTGCCTGCTGGAACGGCCCAGAGTCCAGGCCAGCTACAAGCAGCTGCTCAAGGCTCTGGAGCCCAGTCATCAGCTGTGTCCCAGCAGCAGGGGAGAGACCAGACTTATGCTGCCTCAGGCCCTCCCCTCCCCGCCATCTGCTCCGAGGCACACTGTTTGCAACCTCCTGGCTGCAGCCAGCCCCAGTTCTGGGTAGCTGCTGCCAACTATGGAGCCTGGGCTGCTTGCAGCAGGGCTTGCAGCTGAGCCTACCTGATTCCCACCTGCTCCAAGCCCAGCACTGGCCTAGCCCCCATACTGGGATGAGGCTGGGGCTGCCCCTTGCCAGGAGCAATGCCCCTTTGCAGGCTTAGCTGTGGGGAGTGGTTGGGCTGATGGGCAGGCTCTGGGCCTGGGCCTCAGCTGGCCATGCTGCAGCCTGGGGGCTGGCTCCCCAGGAAAGCACAGGGGCTCCGGGAGGCCCCAGGCATTGTTGGGTCAGACTTTGTCTGGTGGCCCAGCAGCCCAGCTCTGTGCACCCATGCATCTGGTTCTCTGCGTTTGTCAGCCTCTGGTTCTGCGCGTCTGTGTGTGTACACGTCTAGTTCTGGGTGTGCACGTGCGTGTGCATGTGCCTAGTTCTCTCTCTCTTGCTCTCTTTTCTTTTTTCTTTCTCTCTCTCTGTCCTCTTTCTCGTATTTCTCTTTTTTCTCTCTCTGTCTCTGCAACATGCTTAACAAAAAAAAGTACACAACAACAAAGGCAACATTTATCATTATTAAATATACTAATATGCAGTGTGTCCTGCCATGTACCCACCCCCCCAATTTTGTTTTTCTGGAATGCCGGCACTGTAGCACCTTCCAAGGTAGACGTGGTTTTTTCGGCACTCTGGCCAAAAAACATTGCCTACCCTGCCCTAACCATTAAGTAGCATTTCTCTGGACATTCTCAAGTCTATCAACATACTTCTTGAAGTGCGGTGCCCAAAACCGGATGCAGTACTCCAACTGCGGTCTGACCAATGCTGCATAGAGGGGAAGCATCGCCTCCTTGGGATCTATTCATCATGCATCTGCTGGTGCATGATAAAGTGCAGTTAGCTTTGCTGATGATGTCATCACACTGACGACTTATGTTCATCTTGGAGTTCACAATGACTCCAAGATCCCTTTCCTCTTCTGTGCTGCTGAGAGGGTCATTTCCCAGCCAGTAGATGTGCTGGATATTTTTGCACCCTACGTGCAGCACTCTGCACTTGTCCTTGTTGTGCTGCATCCTATTGTGCACAGCCCACTTTTCTACCCTGTCCAGGTCTGCCTGCAATCGTTCCCTACCCTCCAGAGTGTGCACTTCACCCCACAATTTAGTATCGTCCGCAAACTTGGACAGAGTACACGTCACACCCACATCCAAGTCGCTGATGAAGACATTGAAGAGTACAGGTCCAAGCAGTCAGCGCTGCGGGACCCCACTGCCCGCATCCTTCCAGGTCAATACCGACCCGTCTGCTACCACTCTCTGGGTGCGACCGCTAAGACAATTCACCACCCACCGGACCATGTAAACATCTGTCACAGCCTCTTAATTTATTTATGAGAATAGGATGAGATACCGTATCGAAGGCCTTGGTAAAGTCCAAGAAAACGACATCCACCTCCACTCCTGCGTCTAAGCATTTTGTGACCCTGTCATGAAATGAAACCAGATTGGTCAGGCATGATCTACTGGCTACGAATCCATGCTGGTTGCCCTGCTGCATTAATTTTCTCGCTGGACTCCCACACATAGGACACTTCATAATCTTTTCAAAGACCTTTACAAGGATGGAGGTGAGACTGACTGGCCTGTAATTACTTGGATCCTCGTTCCTCCTCCTCTTGAAAATAGGGTCACATTGGCCCTTTTCCAGTCCTCTGGGACCTGCGCTGAGTGCCACGAGCGCTCAAACAGCCGTGCCCGTGGTTCTGCTACAACACCGGCCAATTCCTTCAGTGCCCGCGGACGCAGCTCGCCTGGGCCTGCCGACTTGACCACGTCCAGTCCATCCAAGTGACTCTGCGCCAAGGCACCGCCGACTGTTGGTGGGCTGGTGTCTCTCTGATGCCCGTCTAAGAACCCATTAGGAGACTTGTCTTGAGCCCTGTTCAGGAACACCGAAGCAAAAAACTCACTGAAGAGCCCAGGCTTGTCCCCCCTGTCTATCACTAATTGCTCCTTCTTGTTCAGTAGGGGTCCTATGCTTCCCTGCACCTTCCTTTTACTCCCTACATACCTAAAAAAATACTTTTTGTTGTTTTTGTGTTGCTAGCCTCAGCTCTGTAGTTGCTTTGGCTTTTCTAACTGCTTCCCTGCAAGTGCGGGCCAAGTAGGTATACTCCTCCTTGGTAACTTCCCCCTGCTTCCACCGCCTATAGGTCTTCATTTTTTGCCCTTAGGCTCCCCTGGAATTCCCTGCTTAGCCAAGGAAGATTTTTTGGCTCCTTTCCCCCGTTTCCCTCGTACTGGGATAGTCTCCCTCTGTGCCCGAAGGATCGCTTCCTTTAGAAACGACCACCCTTCCTGGACTCCCTTCTCGCCAGTACTCCTGTCCTGCAGTGCATCATTGACTACACTCCTGAGCAGACTGAAGTTAGTCTTCCTGAAGTCCAGAACTTCCACCCTACTAGTTATCTTACCCACCCTGTGCCGTATGGTGAATTTGTCTGTAACAGACCCCCGCCACTGAGTCCCTTTCCCCTTGACCTCCATGTATCCTCACCCACAATGCCTCCACTTTCTCCTCTGATCCCATTTTGAGTAGGGTAGATATTAGGATGTGGAGACAAGCAGTTCTTCCCTTCTTCTCCCTCTAATGACAGACATTAGGGGACAATCAGGTTTGCTGTCTTGATTTATTGGACCAGATCTGGTTTCCCTGGGATGCCATGATCTTATATTTCCATCTTCACTCAGCAATGTAAGAGTTCATTTCCCAGGCCAAGGTAGCCATACCTCTCTAACACTGTCCCAGGGCATGATGGGATTTGTAGTCCCCCATGGAAATCATCATGGCATGCAGAGACTCTGTTGGACAAGACTCAGGCTCTCCCTCTTCTGCTCAGGCTGACCTGGAACCAGGAAGCGTTTCATCACAGCCTCGGGCTGCATTAAAGGGCTTCACGGCGTGGCCGGGATCCAGAAACTTCCGAGTTGTGGGCGGAAGTGAATCCCCATGATTTGCACCAGAATTGCCCCCTTCATGTTTCCTCTCTGGGGCCCCGAGTGTCACAAAGCCTCAGACCCAGCACAAAGTCTGGGTTCAGGCTCACGCTGATGCCTTAGAGCTGGTGCAGACTCCTGTGACATGGAGCCCACCTGGGGCCCGTCAGCAGAGGAAAGCTGCACGGGCTCATCTCCTGCACCAGACCGTGCCCTGGAAGCAGGCAGGAAGCGCAGCCCTGCTCCTTTCAGAAGAGAGAGCCGTAGCTCTAAGCCCTTCCCTTCTCCTTAGCCCGTTACAGCATGAAGCCATTCAGGTACTGTCCTAACGCACACGTCCCACACGTGCTTCTCCTAGCAGGGTCTGAGGTGTTGGGGCTGACAGCTGGGCCAGAAACTCCGGAGAGTCCTGCTCCGAACCCCAGCGAGCAGTGAACGTTATCCCAGCACAGGGACCTGCCCCTCCCGCAGCCCCAGCACTTGGGGTTTTGGCAGGGAGACCTGGTTTTCTTCAGGGGACACAAGTGCCAAGGGGCAGGCCTGCTGCGAGGCCCGTGCCAGCTGAACGAGTAGCAGCGTTTGCCCTCTGCCGACGGGGTAGGCACTAATCTGGTGTTTCTCTTCCCCGTGCAGGAGGCGCCTGGCTGCTGAGCAGAGCTGAGGAGCAACCTCCTGCGGATGGGGCTGCAGACCTGGAGCCAGCAGGGACTTCCCCAGGGAGTTTGGCTGAGATGGACCCCCGGACACCTGAGGAGGATCAGTGGCCCCAAAAGCAGAAGGAGAATGTAGCGGTGAACCAGGTACCAGCTCGAGTTGGGCGTGAGAGTGGGGAAGGGGCAACACCCAGAAGGAGCCCTGGGTGCAGGGCAGAGTTTGTGGAGCTGAGAGACCTAAAGAGCCGCTGGAAAGATGCACTGCATCCCAGCCAAGGCAGTGGGGAGGGGCTCAGAGGGAAGCAGGAGCTCACTGCCCAGCACCGGGGCAAAGCCCACCCATTCCCCGAGGTCAGAAAAACCTTTAACTGCCCATCCCTCCTGGCTCTTCACAAGATAAGGCACAGTGGGGAGATGCCCCACGTATGCACCAAGTGTGGGAAGAGCTTCACCTGCCTCTCTACCCTGGTTGCTCAACGCCAGACCCATTCTGGAAAGCTACCCCACTGGTTCAAGTGGGTGAAGAGCTTTGTGTTACCCCCAGACCTGGTCAAGCACCTACATGTGCAGAGGGGGAAGTGTCAGGCACAGCTGTATCAACTGTGACAAGACCTTCACCCCTTTTTTCTCCCTGTCTCAGCACCGACGCATCCACCTGGGCAGAAGGACACACCGCTGCACTGAGTGCAGGAAGAACTTCATCTGCTGGCAAGACCTGTCCCAGCACCAGTGCGTGCGGCACTGCTGCACCAAGTGTGGGAAGAGATTCAAGCAGCTCTCCAGCCTGGCCAGGCACTGGTGCATGCACACAAGGGAGAAGCCACATCAGTGCTCAGAGTGTGGGAAGAGCTTCTCCCGATCCTCTCACCTGGCCCGACACAAGCGCATCCACACAGGGGAGAAGCCACATCAGTGCTTGGAGTGTGGAAAGTGCTTCCCCCGATCCTCTGACCTGACCAAACATTGGCTCATCCACACAGGGGAGAAACCACACCAGTGCGCGGAGTGCGGGAAGAGCTTCTCCCGACCCTCTCACCTGGCCCGGCACCAGCTCATCCACACAGGGGAGAAGCCACATCAGTGCTCAGAGTGTGGGAAGAGCTTCACTCAGTCCTTGAGCCTGGCCCAGCACCAGCTCATCCACAGACGGGAGAAGCGACATTGGTGCTTGGAGTGTGGGAAGAGCTTCCCTCGATCCTCTGACCTGACCAAACACCAGCTCATCCACACAGGGGAGAAACCCCATCAGTGCTCGGAGTGCGGGAAGAGCTTCAACCGATCCTCTAACCTGGCCCGGCACCAGCTCATCCACACCGGGGAGAAGCGACATCAGTGCTCGGAGTGTGGGAAGACGTTCACCCGATACTCCTACCTGGCTCAACACCTTCTCACTCACACAGGGGAGAAGCCACATCAGTGCTCAGAGTGTGGGAAGAGCTTCACCCAGTCCTCTAACCTGGCCCGGCACCAGCTCATCCACACAGGGGAGAAGCCACATCAGTGCTCAGAGTGTGGGAAGAGCTTCACCCAGTCCTCTAACCTGGCCCGGCACCAGCTCATCCATATAGGGGAGAAGACAAATCAGTGCTCGCACTGTGGGAAGAGCTTTGCTTGTTTCTCCTCCCTGGCCCAGCACCAGCTCATCCACTTGCAAGAGAAGCCACATCAGTGCTCAGACTGTTGGAAAAGCTTCACCCGATCCTCTAATCTGACCAAACACCAGCTCATCCACACAGGGGTGAAGCCACATTAGTGCTGAGAGTGCAGGAAGTGCTTCCTCCACTCCTCCAAACTGGCCCAGCACCCGTGCATCCAGATCTGGGAGTGTCCATCATTCTGCCAGCAATACAAGAAGGGCTTGGGGATGTATACTAGCTCAACACCCACCCGTGTCTGCATCCAGGGAAGCGGTCTCATGGTGGTGAGATGCAGCAACAAGTTCACCCTTTGTTCAGCCCTCCTAGGGCACTGCAGATCCCAAAGGACACAAAGGCTGGCCTCCCAGGATTTATGTGTATGAAGGGTTAAAAGGAAACACTTCAGGCAGAGGCCAGCCCAGATGCTGGGGGAACCAGTGAGGAGAAGATCTTTGCATCAGTCTTGGAGCCTGTGCCATCCCCATCGTTCTCCAAAAGCAGCTGGTGCTCCCACGCAGAGAAGCACCTGCACAATAGGTGCCCTCACCAAGACAGCTGGCTCCAAATGATCCCCAGGGACTGTCTTTGGCCAACTCCCAGCTTCAACTTCCCTCCTGGTCCCAGGGTCCTTGTATGTGAGGCTCTAGAGTTGCAGGAAGGAGGACATAGATTGCTAGGGACGCATTCCCTGCCTTCCCCCCTGACCTTGCCTTTCTTCCCCACCACATCACCCCTCTCCCAGGCCTGCACATGCCCAGCGGGGTCTGCAAGAAACTGCTACTGCCACCCCGTGAGCCCGGTTTTGGCAGGTTTTGCTTCTCAGCCCCTTGTCACGACTCTGCATCAGCAGGTGCCAGCTGCCCCCCTGCCCTCCTTCCCTTCATGCCATTCTTTATAACAACTTCCTTGGTAATCAAGGCCCATGGATTAACACGATACCCCTGTGGTTGGTCTCTCTGTCCTCTGCAGAGCTGTGAAATGGGAACAGACCAGGGCTCAGAACCCTTTCCATGGAAGATCTCTGTGATTTCTCAGCTCCTTCCCTATCCAGGGGATTCACCACGATCCAGGGGGTTTTGCTAAGCTGCACGAGTTGGTCATATTTGAGGCATCAGACCCGTGTTCTTCTGTGCAGCCAAGGGCCCTGCCCTTTTGAATGACCCTCTGGCCAGGGGGAAGTAGAGTCTCTTCTCTGGGTTGAATGTGCTAGGTGGGGTAACGGAGGTGCAGCCTGTGACAGGTCCTGGCCCTTCTGTGGAAGGGCGGGGAAAGTACGAAGGCGTGCTCTGGGTGAAACGCAGCATGTTGTAATCTCCCATTGGGAATATCTGATGACAGCCCTAGGATTGGTAGCTATAGCATGGTTTGATTATTTGTATTGTCGTTTTTCTGTTCTTAATCTGTATTAATACATTTGCCTATTATCAGCTGGCGGTGTGGTGGTCAGTCCGAGGGTTGTGCCCGCCCAGAACAAAGGTATAGCGGCTGGTTCCTAAAATCCTGTGTAATCCAAGGTGACCCCAGCAAAGTGACCATCCAGCCTCCTCTTGGGAGATTTCCAGGTTAGGCGATTGCACCACCTCCGGAGGGAGCTTATTCCACAGTCCGGATCCCCTAGCTGTGAAGTTTTTCCTGACGTTGAGCCTGAAGCGGTCTTCCAGGAGTTTGTGGCCATTACTCATGGTTTTCCCCAAGGGTGCCCTGGTGAACAGTTGCTCACGGAGCCCTTGGTGTACGCCTCTGATGTAGCGGTAAGCTGCTATCAAATCCCCTCTCAGCCTTCTCTTTTTCAGGCTGAAGAGGCCCGTGTCCCTCAGCCTTTCCTCGTATGGCTTGCCGTGCAAGTCTGATCATACGGGTGGCTCTTCTCTGGACTCTCTTGAGCTTTACCACGTCTTGTTCAGGTGCGGCGTCTAGCACTGGATGCAGTACTCCAGGTGCGGTCTCACCCACGCCGAGTAGAGTGGAAGAATTGCAGTAGTAAGGGTTATCTCCCTTACTAAAGAGTGATGTCACCCACAGGAAGGGGTCAGTCGACTATTTTGGGTCAGGGGTTAGTTGTTACAATAAAGGCTTAATGAGAACATAGGCTCTTCCCGCTTCTCCAGAATACCACAGAAATAAGCTGAAAACCAAGGTCCGGAGGCAGGAGAAGCCAAGTGCAGGAAATCGGAGACTTGTCGCAGCAGAACTGCAGACTGAGCTGCAGCCCCGGGGCCCGGCTGGTGATAAACATAGCGGTGCTGCTCTCAGCAGCCAACCAGGGTGTGGCTGCTCCTAAATCGCGGCAGAGGTCACTGGCTGGGCTTGCTGCAAGTGTAGCTGCTGCGGCACTCGGCGCAGGCCGGCCTGGCTGCTCAGCGCCCCTGACACCTTTGTGCCATCATCCTCCATCTCGTCTTCTAGCCCGTGTCTGGGGAGCGGAGGCTGTGGCTTGGTGGGTGATGCGTCTCGAGGGTGCATCACTCGATGCAGCCAGTCACACCGGGGGCTCCCAGCCCCTTCCATCTCAAACAACCCAGACCCCACTCCACTCCCAGGCATCTAGGCTCCCACTCGAGACCCTGCTGCCCCAGACTTAGGAGACTATCCAGGTGTCCCAAACTATCCCCCTGCTCACGGCTGGATTTCAAGACTCTGCAGTTGGGACTGTTCCCCCATGTTCCCACCCCAGAGCTGTGTCATGGGAAGTGTTATATGTGGCCATTTTCCAGCAGCTCCACCCCAGGGCTGGCTGCATCTCCAGATAAACCCCAGCTCCAGAGGTGAACTGCATCTCCAGTCCACACCCCTGTATACTGACCCCCTACTCCTACCACCTACCAATACAGCGGCTCCTCCAGCCCTCCTACTGCCAGCAGCCAGGCTCACTCCAGCTGCACAGCATTGGCCAGGGGCAGCCGGTAGCTGGCCTGGCAGGGTAGAAACAACAGGCACCTGCTGTTCAGCCCCACTCCCAGAAGCCTGAAGAACCCAGATGCGGTGGGCTAGGAGGGGGTGCCTGTGAGATGAGCCACCCATCCCATCGTTTCATAGTTGGTCGGGTCGGAAGGGACCTGAGCAGAACATCAAGTCTGACCCCCTGCCCTGGCAGGAAACAGTACTCGGGTCAAACGACCCTGGCGAGGTGTTCATCCAGCCTCCTTTTGAAGACCCCCAGGGTAGGAGCCAGCACCACTTCTCTTGGAAGTTGGTTCCAAATCCTAGCCGCCCTGACTGTGAAGTAGCGCTTCCTGATGTCTAGTCTGAATCTACCCTCCATCAACTTATGGCCATTATTCCTTGTTACTCCTGGTAGTGCTCGGGGGAACAGGGACTCCCCCAATGCCTGCTGGTCCCCCCTGACTAGTTTGTAACAGGCCACTAGACCCCCTCGGCCTTCTCTTGTGAAGGCTGAACAGGTTCAGGTCCCGTAGCCTCTCCTCGTAGGGCCTGCCCTGCTGCCCCCTGACCATGCGGGTGGCCTCCTCTGGACCCTCTCCATGTTGTCCACATCCCTCTTGAAGTGCGACGCCCAGACCTGGATGCAGTACTCCAGCTGCGGCCTGACCAGTGTCGCATAGAGGGGGAGGATCACCTCCTTGGACCTGCTCGAGATGCATCTGTGGATGCACGAAAAGGTGCGGTTGCCTTCCTGACCGCGTCCCCACACTGTCGGCCCATGTTCATTTTGGCATCAATAATGACTCCAAGATCCTTCTCTGCCTCTGCACTGACGAGAAGGGAGTTCCCCAGCCTGTAGGTGTGCTGCTGGCTCTTCCTCCCCAGGTGCAGCACCTTGCACTTGTCAGTGTTGAAACCCATCCTGTTCTCATCTGCCCACCCCCGTAACCTGTCTAGGTCCGATTGCAGCCTATTCCTCCCTTCTAGCGTGCCCACTTCCCCGCACATCTTAGTGTCATCTGCAAATTTGAGCAGGGTGCTTTCCACCCCGTCGTCCAAGTCACTGATGAAGATGTTGAACAGTGCGGGTCTGAGGACCGAGCCCTGGGGGACCCCACTGCCCACATCCCTCCAGGTCGAAAATGACCCAATAGATGAGGAAATTCACCATGGTCCACCACCACTCTCTGGGTGCGGCCCTCCGGCCAATTAGTGACCCATCTGTGTAGGTGTCGACGTCATAGCCCCCTCGTTTTTTAATGAGAACGAGGTGAGAGACAGTGTCAAAGGCCTTCCTGAAGTCCAGAAAGACTACGTCCACCGCGACACCTGCATCCAAGGATGTTGTACCTGGTCATAGAAGGCACCAGGTTGGTCTGACAGGACCTGCCCCTGATGAACCCATGTTGGTTGCCCCTCAGCATAACCTTCCCTGCTTGACCCTCGCAGATGTGCTCCTGGATAATTCTCTCAAAAAGCTTACCCAGGATTGAGGTAAGACTGACGGGCCTATAGTTCCCTGGGTCCTCCTTCCTCCCTTTTTTGAAGATGGGGACCACATTGCCCTTTTCCAGTCCTCCGGCACCTCACCAGAGCACCAGGAGTGCTCGTAAAGCCGTGACAGGATCCCGCAATGACCTCTGCTCATTCCCTCAGCACTCGGGGGTGGAGATCGTCAGGACCAGCTGATTTAAATACGTCCAGTCCCTCCAGAAGTTCCCTGCCTAGGTCCTCGCTGACCCCAGGCCTGGGTGCGCCTCCCCTGGGGTCTATGAGGGTCCCGGTGGGGCGGGTGACCTGGTCTGTGCTCAGAAAAATGGAGGCAAAGAAATTGTTAAATAGGTTAGCTTTGTCGCCTGGTGTGATGAACAGATTTCCTAGCGTGTCCTGCAGAGGCCCCACGTTACCTGGTACCTTCTTTTTACCCACTATGTATTTAAAAAAGGACTTCTTGTTTTCCTAATTCGGGTTGCTAGTCCCAGTCCCATCTCCGCCTTAGCCTTCCTAACAGCCCCACTACAATCCCGAGCAATGGAGGTGTAGCTCTCCTTGGTGATGGCCCCATAGCTGACACAAACCATGCTGGGACCCAACACACGACTGGGCAGTGACTATCAAGGGCTTTCGGCTGGACAGGAGGGACAGGACAGGGGGGAGAGGCGGGGTGTGGCGCTCTGCGTCAAGGAGGAATACACATCCTCAAGGAGCAGCACAGGGTCAGAGGAGGGGCAGGCTGAAGTGCTCTGGGTTAGAGTATACGGAGGTCGAGGGGAAAGGGACTTAACGGTGGGGGTCTACTGCAGACCACCCAACCAGGGGGAAGAGCTAAACCGGGATTTCTTAAGTCAGCTCACGGAGGTAGTTAGGTCAAAGTTAGTAGACGCAGGTGTAGTGGTAGACGTAGTCTTTCTGGACTTCAGGAAGGCCGTCGACACTGTCTCTCACCCCCTTCTCATTAAAAAACTGGGGGACTGGGGCGTCGAACACCTACACAGTCAACCACACCTTGTCGTGCATCCACAGATGCATCTCGAGCAGGTCCAAGGAGGTGATCCTCCCCCTCTACGCGGCACTGGTCAGGCCGCAGGTGGAGTACTGCGTCCAGGTCTGGGCACCGCACTTCAGGAGGGATGTGGACAGCATGGAGAGGGTCCAGAGGAGGCCACCCGCATGATCCGGGGCAGCAGGGCAGGCCCTACGAGGAGAGGCGACGGGACCTGAACCTGTTCAGCCTCCACAAGAGAAGGCCAAGGGGGATCTAGTGGCCATCTACAAACTAGTCAGGGGGACCAGCAGGCACTGGGGGAGTCCCTGTTCCCCCGAGCACTCCCAGGAGTGACTAGAAATACCGGTCACGAGCTGACAGAGTAGATGCAGACTAGACATCAGGAGGCGCGACTTCACAGTCAGGGCGGCTAGGATCTGGAACCAACTTCCGAGGGAAGTGGTGCTGGCTCCTCCCCTGGGGGTCTTTAAGAGGAGGTTAGACGAACACCTTGCCGGGTGTTCCCAGTACTCTTTCCTGCCACGGCAGGGGTTGGACTTGATGATCTGCTCAGGTCCCTTCCGACCTGACCAGCTACGAAACTATGACACACACTCCCTCACCTACGTACCTTGCCCCCAAGCTGTACCACCCCATAGAAATTCAAAAAGAAACAGGCAGAGTTAGAATTCGTTGAACAAAGTCCCATCCCCTCCCTTCTTTCTGTGGCCACCTCCAACAACAAGACAAACCAGCCCTCCTGCCAAACAACTGGCTCATTCAAAAGATAGAATTTTATTTTCTTAAACACTGTAATATAGGGAAAGGGAAGAGGCAGATTTATACACTTGGGGTAGCAGTACAAAATTGGGAGAATTATGGATACTCTCAGATATGAATACACTGGTGCTGGCCCAGTTTGGAGGAGTGAAGAAAGCACTTCCCACACACCAAAGACTGATGTGGCTTCTCTCCTGTGTGGATATGGTGGTGCCGGACCAGGTTGGAGGAGTAAGTGAACCTCTTACCACACACCAAGCACTGATGTGGCTTCTCCCC